AGCAATGCTTAGCCACTGTGGGCCACCCGGCTAAAGAAAACAGAATAGAAAAAACAAGTTGAGAGTAAAGTGTTTTCAAACAGACGTCAATGAACTCTTGAAAGCTTAACGTTTCAAACAACACAAAGCGGGTTCAATGACTTCCCTGACACTGAAAATAACCACAATAAGCTTCCCCGAGGCACAAACCATCTCACGGAAATAAAAGTTATTAGTGACTTCAATGCATCTAATTTTTTTTCAATGAAGTAGATTTTAAAGTACTGTTTTCAAACAGATGTCAATGAACTCTTGAAGGCTTACTCAGTGTGGGTTCAAATGACTTCACTAAATCTGAAATTATTAAACCACAAGAAGCAGCCCCAGGCACAAACCATCACAAGAAAATCTACCCACCTACAGAAAACTCATTACCACACTAGTAAATGACTTTGATACATCTAGTCTGAGTCCAGATCTACTAGTGAAGTCATCAAGAGTTCCTTAATTGCTTTAGGCATTCACAGGTTCGTTGACGTCCATTAGACAACAAAGTCTCCAACGTTGAGTTCAGTAACCTGACAGCTTGCTGAACATGTTTTGCTTTCTCAGCATGTTTTATCCTATTTTTTTAATGAAGTTATCAAGAGTTTCTTGCTTTAGACATATTTTCAAGTGTTCGTTGACGTCTGTTAGAAAACAAACATGTCCAACATTGAGTTCAGTAACCTGACAACTTATCTAACATGTTTTTGCTTTTACGCGTGTTTTATCAAATTAACGAAGTCTTTTATTTTTTTACTGAAGTTATCAAGAGTTTCTTGCTTAAGGCATTTACGAGTTCATTGACGTCTGTTACAAAACAAATGCCTCCAACATTGAGTTCACTAACCTGACACTTATCTAACATGTTTTGCTTTTACGCTTGTGTTATTTAATCAAAGAGCTAAGGAGAAAAACATGTGACGGAGCACTCAAACCATTAGTCTGAAATGCAAAATGGGAATAGAGAAAGCCTATCATATATGGTAGCGAATACAAATGGGTCAGTCTACTGAGGAAGACCAGAGTGACTGGTTGAAAGCTCTAGGTGAGAGAATTTTCTGTGTTGGACCAAAAGTTTTAACTTTAAACATGTATTAAACTACCAACACAGATGAACTTTCATGATAGTACAAATGGAGATTACTAGTATATAGCACAAGTGTTAGTTACACTAGCAAGGCAACAAACCCTGATTGTGGCCCAACTCACAGCTTAGTGTATTTGACAAGCTGGCCTTAGCTTTCTGGCATTGCACTTTCATATTGGAAAATTAGTCTCAACCATGCAGGCCCCTGAGGATGAAATATATGATGTTGTATATAATAGGCCATACCTTGGTATGAATGATTAAAGTAAGGAATTGCCCAAAATAGCACATTGACAGGGTTTTCTCTGGAAAATTATTCACCTTATTTGGACCAATTTTTGCCAATTATTCATCATTATCATATAGCCGGGTGACGTTGACCAATCAGAAGGCTCCATTCCACATTCTTTATGTCGCCGTAATGTCACAAATAGAGTCAAAATCGGGTATTTATTCATCCCAATCCATACATTAAACAAAATGAATAATCACCCGCATATGACCTCAGGTGACCCAATAGAACACGGCTCTACTTCTAAAAAATCCAAAAATAACTTGAGTTGTGTTCCAATGACTCCCATAAGAACACCTGTTCCCTGCCTGTGACCCAGATAGAAGGCCATAGAACATGAACCCCCCAGTGACCTCAGGTGACTCCAGACGGAACAAATATTCTATGTTCTATTCAGCATGTGCAAGGGGTACATTGTGTGACTCTTCACTGCATCAGTTTGGATAGGCTATCGTGTAAGCTATATGATAATAGCGTTAATGGCCCGCCCTTTCTCGGTGAATATGGTGTGATAAAGCCTTGTCAGTCGCTATAACCACCTCATAAAGCCACCT